AAACCGGCAAACATTGACTGACTCCAGGAATTTCACGTTAACTTGCCGATGTCGGAGGTGTCTTCTCGACGCCACCGCCAGCACATTAATTTGTTCAGAACGCGACTCGAGCGTGCATGGTTTTTAAATATCTGAAATTATCCTTTTGATTTGTTTCATTTTTTTTCTCATACTCGCAAAATACAGGCGCACGCTATTAGTTTTTTTTTTTAATTTTAACGTGTTGTGTCAGTAAACACAATCTGTCACCGCGATGACAGCTAGTATATACGTCTTGCAAACCATATAATACACATTAGAGAGATGTCAGAAATAACGCATGAAGATCAAAGTCAAAAAATAGTGAAGGAGAAGTGGAAAACCAACACGTGACTAAAGTCACGTGTCTTTAAAACTGTCACTAAAGTAAAGTCACATGACAGGGAGGAGAGGAAAAACCACGTGACTACAGTCACGTGACTTTATTTCAGTTACAAAGAACTTCCTTTGTAATAGTGAGCATAGACACTGAAGAAGATCTCATAGTGGGTCAAAACGGTTGTCAAATTTTTTAATAAAGAAGAATTTTTTCCGAACATCAGATGTACAGCTCGTCATTGCCTCTTCTCCCTTTCTTCTTATTGGAATAATAATAACGTTTCTGCAAACGTGATTTTCTCACTTCGAAACTTTATCGTCGCAAATTAGAAGCTCAAATAAAAAAAACACAAGAATACTTTTGTTTTTAGTATTTTGTTCTGTAGCGATTGAGACGAAAACGAAATTGATCGGTCGTTCAGTCGTTCTTGAGATATTGCTCCGTGAAAATCTTCACTTTTCAATCGCATGAATTTCGATGATGATGATTTCGCATGATTTTTTATTTGTACGACATGAATCGAGAAACACATCCGAGAAACATTCAATCAGCGTCGAGATAAAAGCGGCAACAATCAATATCGAGAGAATCGATTGTGATTATTTACACACGCTTTTTTCTGGTAAAAAATCACGAAAAGTTGAGGAGTTCCAGTAAAAAAAATACCATTAAAAATTCTTTCATCGAAGAATGTTAATTAAAATCTCACTGTATAAAAATTAAAAATTTTAATTATGAGAAAATCAAACGAATCATGTGACTAATCGTCTGTTTATAATCGGAAAAGTCGCAAGAGAAAGATAATTGCGCGCTCCGAGCACACGCTTGTTCGATCTAACGAAGTATTTTGAAGCCGACTCATCGCTAATCTACGTGACCGCGAACAGCGCGTCGCGTCGATGCCACAGGTCGCGCACGACGGAACGGGCGACCGGAATGTAAATCAAACGCGGTTTCGAAACTCTTCCTCAGTGGCTGAATACGGTGGAAGGCCTTAATTCGTTTACGACTTGCAAAGCGGAGCCTTCTGGGAGCGCGCAACTGGTAGCCAAACAGTTTGCACGCCGTCACGCACCCCCGTGACACGTCCCAAGGGTGTGCTACCGGGCGACGCAAAATACCGCGATGCTCCCGCAATCTTGACGGATGAAAATTGGAGCCTTCAAGTATTTTAATAAAATTGAAAAAAAAAAACAAACCTATCACGGGAAAAAAAAGTTTTGCTATTATATGGCCAAGAGAAATCTGCTGACTGAGTCTATTGAAGGTTTTGCTTCATCAACAAAACGTTTGTTGGCAAAACAGAAAATTCAATAGGCGAATATTTTTGTTAGCCATCTTTCTATTCTAGTAAATCTTTTTTGTTTAAAAATTACAATTAATTGCGAATTCTCAGAAGGCGAACACAGAGATAATCTGATGTCTGCACACGTTGCTGAGAAATTCGTCAATAATCGCAAAACTGCGTATTCGTCTAGTAATAAGTTCGCGTCTCACAAGTCCTTCGAGCGTGTAATTATCTAGGACATGCGGACAGCGTGCGGATCGGCTCGTTTATTTCTCCGAAGACGCATCACGGATCAAAAAAAGATACTTTAGTCAGTCATTGTGAGTCGATGCGAGAACGTGACGGACATTGTCATCCGATTGCGAAATCTTTTATAGCGAATTCGCGCGAGGAATCTAGCTGTATAAAATTTCCCGTGCTTATCGCAGAAAAGAGAAACTTGCGCACGCGAGACAAATGCAATTTATCTCTTTTGAAGGACAAGTGTTCTTTGTCGTATAAATGCGAGTAATTAATTAGCAAATAATTTAATTTTAAATCAAATAATTACAGGTTACTTAAAATTTTAATTTATTTATAATCTCTTAATTTAATTTTCATTTAACAATCTTAATTTTGTAAAAAGAATTGGAATGACGACGCTACGCGCAAACGCGCATCTCGCAGCGCATTTTCACCACGGATACGTCTTAAACCCATTTCAGTACGTCTTTAAGATTAACCAATGATCTCTTTCTTTCTCTTTTTCCCTATCTGTCTGATCGATATAAAATTGCAGCGAAAACAAGGTCGCGCTCTACGCAAGCGAGCGCGGTGTGTTGTTGTTTCGCGTTTTCCCCGGAGGGATCTGATTGCAAACGAATGCGGCGAGGTTACGGTCTCTCCCTTCATAGACGATTAATCCAGTTTAGTCGCAGACGTTACAACGCCATGGGGTTCTTGTAAGCCGGAGAATCCGCACAAACGCGTCCCTCCTGCGCTTAAATATATTCAATTACGAGACTCGCAAACCTGTGCGCCCGCCTCGCGGCTCTCTCTCTCTCTCTCTTTTTCCTTTACCTCCGATTCGCTTTTCTTACGGTTCTCGCCAGCCAAAGTCTCGACTTTTCGCTTCCGTTTCGACCCTCCCCATTCCCCGCTAAAAACGCGAATTCACGCGCCGGTAAACTCTTCGGCAGACGGCAAGTTTACTTCGCTAAGATATACTACAGCACTGTCTTATCGTCGTAACCCTTTCTGATTACGAGAAAAGGAGGGAGAAAATTTCCGGGAATATTTATACAAAGTTGCGAAAGCGTCGAGATGTCACCAATTCCACGATATTTCCCGGTGTTTTCTGACAGACCGACTAGAGTTAGATGATAGAGCGAGGGACGTAGGGCGCAGCGTAAGAGAGAGAGAGAGAGAGAGAACGCAAATAAAAGAGAGAGAAAGAGATTGGGATGGAAAAGGGTCACGATATATTGGGGAGAGAGCGCGAGAGGAAAAGAGAGTTAAGCCTGCAGGCTGCAGACAGAGGCATCAGAGCAGCGGTGAGCAGCAGCAGCAGCAGCAGCAGCAGCAGCAGTACGGCGCAAAGCGAAAGCAAGAGGGAGACAGGCATCTCGCCCTTCTTTTGTCCCTGGGCTTCGGCCCGATATTGAAATGGAGTCGTTTGAGTGTGAATAATTTGCTTTGCCCGGGCCCACCCCTCTGCCGCCGCCGTCGTCCCTCTCCTTTGCCCGCTCTCTCGGCCCCGGCGACTACCACCGTGATCGGCCCCCGGTGTACCCTCCGTCGCCCCTCCGCGGCGCCCCTTCCTCTCCTCGTCAACCCCTCTGCAGCAACGCCACGTTATTTTGCGTCGCGTCGGTGAGAGCGGAACGTTTCGCGATTTCCGCGGTCTCTATCTCTCGAGTCGAGGCTCTTACCCAGATCGTCTTCTTCCGCGTGAGAATCGCAAGGGGGTGCGGACACGATCAGACGTGGAGTACGAAGAGTCTCGCACGAGCCTTGTTTAAAAATGTGTCTTGGGACAGAGAAGGCACACAACTGTCGCACAAGGTGCTCGGTTGCACGAAAATATGATAGAAAACATTTGAACGTCACTTCGGAACTTGATCGTTCACACGACCCTGCATCCGCATCGAACGATTTTCCGTTCTTCGTTTCTAAGAATGTTGATCGGGATCGGGTACACCGGCGAATTGATTAACACCAATCATTGTCACGCGCCGGCGAAATTCGCGCGTGGAATGGACGACACGTAATGCACGACACGCACGCCATGCGTAAACGAGACGAGGTTAAAATTACATCGACGTAATCGTCGCATAACGCGGCCTTGCCCCGACACGAAACAAGTTAAACATCGATCATCGGTCACGGGCGTTGCGAACGAACCGAAGATGGATTAAAAGCGGAGGCCGCAGACGCAACCGATGTTTTGCAAGTTAAAAAACTTATGAAGCGGAGCGAAATGTATTTCTCTCTCTCTCTCTCTCTCTCTCTCTCTCTCTCTCTCTCTCTTTCTCTCTGTACACGATGCTAGCTAAATAAAAACGTGTATATTTGGTGAACACAGGTGTTCTGTTTGTAAATTGTAATGAGCTCAGTTGAATAAAAACGTTTCGAAACACGAGCGTACACATTGATATGAATAATGATAAGTCATCTTTATGGCAATTTTATTTAAATCTTGGTTGTTTTGAACAAAAAATCCTAATCTTCAGTTTTTTCATTTTAAAACATATATATTACATATAATATGTATGTAATATATAATAATATTTATATAAATGTGTATGTATTTTATATAAGAGAGAGATAAAGACAGAAGTTATTTATATCACATGTATATAATATATATAATATATATATATATATACATATATATATGACTTGATTTCTCTTGCAATGATACATAATACATAAAAGGTCAGTACAACTGTATTGTATATATGAAAATATTGCACAACCGTCTGTGCATAAATTTCACTGTAACGCGGCGAAAGCGGTGTCGCAAACGCGAGCACGCATTAAATCTTCTCTGAATTTAATCGATGAAGCGCCGAAGCGCGATTTCGTTCGCTTTGTGCGGCCGGAACAAACTGCACAATGCGCGAAAGGCGCAGTCGTACGAAGAAGACGAAGAAGTCGTTCCCCGGGAACGTACCTCGTCGAGGAACGCTATCTTTTGTTGAAAAGGCGCTTGCTCGCCGACAAAGGCGAAGGTGAGCGCGGCGCGACCGGATGATGAGCCAACAATGATCGAGGATTCATCAGTCTTTTAAGAGGCCAATGTCATTTCTTCTCGGCCGACGAATGCGTCTCTCCACCCCGGGCCGCGGATTCTCCTTAGACATGCAGCGCGCATACGGGACACTGTGTATATAATCCACCGACGACGGGCGTCGCAAATCAGTCAGCTCGTCAAGTCAAACCAGCTAACCACAACATACAGCAATGAAGGTAGTCATATCTCTCATTCTCTTTGTTTTATTGTTTTCATTTGATTTCTAACACGCAACAATTTTTTGTGAAATTGTTCGTCAGCTTTGCGCTAAAAAAATTTGAATTTTTTTATACACCAATCGTGTAACTAAATTAATTTTCTAGGTACTCGTCAGCGTAGTTCTTTTGGCCGCCATGGTCTTAGCCGAGCCGCCGCGTTACCGCCAAGCTCAGCAACAGAGACAGTATTACTTCGCCCAACAGCAAGAGGAGGCCGCTCCCTACACCGCGTCCGGCTGGAGACCGGCTGGACCAGCCTTCAATCTCCCTCAGAGACAATCTCAGCGACAAAACGCAGCCCCGAGCGCGCCTCAGCAGCAATACGGAGCCCCGAGCGCGCCTCAGCAGCAATACGGAGCCCCGAGCGCACCTCAACAGCAATACGGAGCGCCGAGCGCACCTCAACAGCAATACGGAGCGCCGAGCGCACCTCAGCAGCAATACGGAGCGCCGAGCGCACCTCAGCAGCAATACGGGGCGCCGAGTGCGCCTCAGCAGCAATACGGAGCGCCGAGTGCGCCTCAGCGACAATACGGAGCGCCGAGCACGCCTCAGCAGCAATACGGAGCACCACCGACCAATCCTCAGCGAGAATACGGAGTACCTGAAGAGTCCACGACAACCGAAGCACCTAACACCACCGAAGAGGAAGAAGCGTCTACTGTTCAGGGTCTCACCGAGTCCGAAGTGAGTAAACTACATTTTATTTTGAGATTTGTATTTTTTGGGGGAATTAAATTTCAATACAAAAAATGTTCTAATTACAAAAAAAAAGTTTCAATTGCTTCTTAAAAAAAGAAAGTGTTTTATTGATTGAAACAATATTGACGAGAAAGTTATCGAAAATAGCTTTCAGTTCTGCACGCGCGTGTTTTTTTCTCGTTCTACGTCACGTTTATACGCGAGACACAGATTTATCATCTCGTCCTGACGAAGTATCGCGGCGCTGCTCGGCGTGCGATTGCAAACGGATTCCGCGGAATTTAAATCGGCACTTTCCGAAGCATCCTCTTTTTCAATCTTCAATGCTTGCCGAGGCGCACTCGTTCTCGCCGTTTCCTCCGCTCGTCCTAAAGACATTAGTATTCGAGGCGCCGTTTACTTTCGATCATGGGTCTTGTGCGTGTGTGACCGTACCGAATTCGAAGAGACCAGCGTGTGACACAACCCATAACACATTCAACCCGTGATTCGAGGTCGTCTCGCGAGTCGCCTATACACGCCGCCTCATATATCGACGAGTATCGGAAAACAGCGAAGAGAGAGAGAAAGATTGTTCTTTCACATCGAGAGATGCTCCTCAACGGAATCGCGCGTTACGTGCGAGGTGTGCTAATTACGCTTGGTTAAAAAAAATCTTTTGCAAGACTCCGCGTCGAATTTTTTAACGTGCTTGACATCGCGAGAAATATATAATATATATTTATTCAGATTTCTAACAAAAAAAATTGACAAAAGATACTTGACATTGCCCAAAAAAAATGAACTTCGGTTTTTGCATGTAAATTTGTCTTGCGACACAATATTCTTTCGGTAATGCGTATGTTTTTACATAAATACACATATTTTACACATTTAATCAATAATAAAATAATAAAATAAAATAATATAATAATAAACTTTGTGTAAATATATAAAATAAACACTGTAATATAAATGTACATTTTTATATTTAAACTGTATAAATATAATATTTATTACAGTTTATTAATTAGTTATAATATTTATACTGTGTAAATATATATGCATAAAATAAACAAAGTCTCATCTTTTCAGTCCGAGTCCGTAAGCGCGAAAAACGAGCTCGAGAATGAGGACGCGGAAAATGAGAAGCAACCCCAACAATCCGGAGAGTACTACGTGGCCCTTCCCGACGGTCGCCTTCAGCGCGTGCAGTACATCAGTCGTCAAGACGTCGAGGCCATGAAATATTTCGCCAAGATCCGCGCCGAGAACGTGGAGCCGCTTCGCGGACCGATCTACGCGTACACACCCCTGCAGAAGCTGCAAATCGTGCCAGCGAGCCTGCAGCTGTCGGTCGCGCCGGTCGCCCCGATCGCCGCACCTGCGGAGAACAAGCCGCAGAAACTTGAACTCGAGCCGGTGGCCGCCCAAGTGCAGTACCAATATGACAACGCCGGAGTAGTGCCCCTGAGCACCAACCCTCTGAGCACGTCCTACACCACCTACACGGCGAACTATCAAGCAGCACCGGCTGCCCCCGCAAGCGACAGATTTCTTCTCACTTTTCAATAAAGACCGAAATCGTCACGCGATAATCAAACGGTTCTTGTAAATTATGTTGTACATGTCACATAAGTTGTTAAGTGTGTAACTCACAATATTAGGCTAAGCTGACGACATAATAAAGCTGATGATAACAAAATTTTTCCTTTTTTTATATTACCTCACAATTTTATAAAGAGTGAGAAAATTATTTTTAGACCTAGAGTAGTACACGATGTAATGTAGTGATTATCGCGATTTGATTCCTTGAATGAAAGAACAAGTGAATGTTTGCTTCATTTATAAAAAAGACGCTGTGGGATAAATACTTCCTTAAGCGCCAAAAAATATCTTTATATTATTGATCTCACATATCCTCATGTACACTCTAATTTAATTAAGTATATAATTTGCGTAATTTTTAGTCGATGTGTAGAATTAATTATATTAAAGGCCCGATTCAGTTCGCCTTTCAACTGATTAATTATCCGATCAAAAGGAACCGGCCCGGAAAAAATCCTGAGAGATGTTGAACGGATTCAAACTTGAGACCTCCAATGTCTGCAGACTCTGCACTCAGGCCGCGAAACCAGTGGGCCCGGTCAATTACGTTGATATAAGTCATATCAATAGTTGAAAAACGATAACAAGAGTAGTGAAAAGATACAAAAAATAATAATAAGAAAAAATAAGAGAAAAAGAATAATAAAAAATTAAAAAGAAAAATAATACAAGAATAATTTTGACAGAAGGAGAGACAATTAAGGTGTTTAATGAAAATAACTAACTTAGCCAATACTTAGCGACTTTACGGATATTTGGAACTCGCTTCGCTTGGAGATTGTATATACATATTTTGCCGTTATTGCACGAAGAGAATAAACGAGCGCCTTTAGAAAACGATCGCGAGCGTAGACACGGACATGCATTGCCACGAGAGAGAAAGAAAGGGAGAGAAAGAGAGACTATCGGTATGTAGACGTGCCTAACCGCAAAATTCCAGAAATTTAATATCTCGCTCGGTGTAACCGGCAGTGAAGCTGGGCGTTTCATAAGTTCGCTCCCGCACAGCCAATCCCTCAACAGAATTCTCCCAAAATTCTGCAGCCAACGCGTTCCAACCCTCTCAAACACTATCTTCTCTCTCTCTTTCTCTCTCTCTCTCTCTCTCTCTCTCTTTCTCTCTTCCGTTACATCGCGCGCTTCCTCCCATTCTCAGATGTTCTTAACGAGTGCGGTCGATAGAAGGAACACGAAAATTTCAATAAAATAGTTGCACGATCGCACCGCAAACTTTCGGACGGATATGAATGTAAATATAATTTGCAATCTTATGAGCACAAAACGGTCTTTCGCAACATTCTCAGCGTTTTAATTCGAGCTGAAAAAAATTTATTTTAGAAAATATAAAAGAAAAAATCGTAAAATTCTGAAACCGATGTTGTATAAAAAAAAAAAAAAAATGAAAATGGCAATTTTAAATTCTATTCTCGGCGATATTGGGCACACTTGTGCGAGCCAGGTGAAAACTTTTAATTACGGTTTACCGTTCTTAAGAATTCAACCAAGCCGTCCGATGGCGAACAAAGGACTTTATCCTCCGGTAGGACGAAGTAAATAACCCAAAGAAGAACGAATATCCTCGCTGTGGGGCCCGCGGAGATCTGTCGTTCGATAGGCGCAATCGGCCGACTAATTAATCCGGTCAAGCGGTCAAGCCCAATTAAATTCCACCAGTCGGCCAAGCCGCGATCGCACGACTCCGCTCCGCAGAGGAGTTTCTTAATCGGGAATTTGGCTCCGGTCCCTCTCTTTCGCGCGCGCCTCCTTCTGCCAGCGTTTCATCCCCCTCGACCGAGCCGCTTTCTCCACGCAGGAAACGGGAAAGGGAATCGCTTCGGAAAACAAAGTTTCGCCCCGGGTTTCCATTCGTCGTTTTCCACGCACCACCGTCATCCCGTCCCGTTTTCTCGCCCCTCCGCGCCCCGTCAAGCACGAAAGCATCCCCGAAAGCCAACCAGCCGGTGCACTCTCCTTCCTACGGGATATTAATTTTTCGGTAAGTTACCGCCGCGTGCCGTTCCTTTTTTCTTCCGCGAATCCTCGTCTCCCTCTTCCTCATCCTCCACCCTATCTTTTTCTCTAGCCGTTGTTTCTCGCTATCCTCTCGTCCAGATACTCCATTTTTCCGTTTCGGCAATTTCTACGCGAGACAAATATACGCGACTTTTTCGCGACAATTTTGTCGTCCAACAATTTTCGTTTAACTATAAGTGATCTTATAGTTGACGGTCTTATTTAAGACAAAATAATAAATTTTTTTCAACTCCGAGGAAAAATCTTAATAAAAACTTGAAACATCTACTGACAGATTGTTTTGCGCGTGTTTAGAAAATAAAAAAAATATTCTATACATTGCAACTCTATTAGATGTTTAAATTATTAAGTTTTTTTATACTATCTACATGCAATTTTTTTCCGGAACTCGCTCATATTCTTAGGAAAATCCCAGATAATCCCTCAGCTCTTACCCGTACGCGTGTGGATAATATCGAAATGAAAAAATCTACTTTCATAATTTTTTTTCTCCGCCCAATTGCTCGTCATATTATATGTAAAATGGCTTTTTGTAAGCCTCATGCCGGATAATATTTTGCGATCTCTCTCTCGCTAATCATATAATTCATTCCTTGCGCGTTTGCAACGCGAAAAGCATCAGAGAGAGAGAGAGAGAGAGAGAGAGAGAGAGAGAGAGAAGAGAAGATTAATTTCATAATCCTGCAGGAATGTAATACGCGTATCTCTATCGAAAGCTCTGTGCGTCCCTTTAATTTGCACAAATCAACCGTGCTATCAAATTCATCGGAACACTCCATTCATCGAAATAAAATGGTTGCACTTTTTAATGTGCTTTTCATAATAATCACATTAATTTATGTATGTTATATATATTAATTATATTGTAATATATATTATTAATTAAGTGAGATTATAATTAATTACATATATGATTAATTTAGTTAGATTATAATATATTACTAATTATTATATATAATAAATAGACTTATATAGTTTTATAAATAAATTTACTTACTAATTAGTTTATATTTATTTTTATAAATTTGATACTACTGCTATTTTTATAACATTAAATTCAACACGCGTCTACCTTAGCTTAGACGATGACTCGTTCGTTGCGCGGCAGAGAAGAAAAGAAATCACATCCGATCGCGAACGCGGTCTCAGGTGATTCGCGATGAGAACAAAGACTCCGGGAGCGCGGCCAGATCGACCGTGAGAGACGGTAATAATTTCAAGAACACCTGAGGAGAGAGCCGAGATGGAAAAGACGACGAAGAGAGGGACGTCAATAAAAAAATGAATGGTAGAACAAAAAAAGGAAGAAATCGCGACGGTGGAGGGCACCAGGTATAGGGTAGCCAAGAAAAGACGCGGGAAGTCTCACACACACATACACACACACAGGGGTGACATCTGGCCGTGCGACAGTGATGACAGACGTCGATCCACCTCTCACGGGGGTAACTTTCCCGCTTGCGTAGTTTTATAGGAAGGTGGTGGCGACTCTCGCGTCGTATGTTTGTGTGTGTGTGTGTGTGTGGACACACACCGCGAGCCGGTCGTTTGTTTGGCCCGCGCACGGTGCCAGATTAAGAAAATAGCGGGAGGCTCCCGTGGCGCCGGGTGGGAACGCGGCCAAGCCAATGTCCCCGTCAGGTTTTCAGAGTCTGGCGAAGGAAGAAATACGAGCGTTCCTCGCGCATAGCCGGTTCAAAACAGTTAGCTTGGAATATCCGCGCATTGTGGACTTGCACCATAATTCAATGAAATTTAGGAACGAGTTTTTAGGAAAGTACAAATAATTTGTTTCCCCCCGAATAATTGTTTCCAAAGTACAAATAATTGTTGTATTATTTTTATGAACTTTCTAAAATTTGTTACGCGTTTACCATCTCATTCGTCTTCAATTATCTCGTCCACTGGCAACTTCCCGAAGAAAAGATCCTGACGCGAATATAAAAAAAATGTGTGTCTACGAAATTTCAATTTTCAAAATCACGTTTTTGCTCTTTCTCTTCGAGTTTCTTTCCCTTCTGTGTTCGAGGATTCTCTGCGCGGCCTCATGGAGGGTTGCAGAGACAACAACAAAAAAAATTGAGAAATACGGGAAGAGAGAGACGCGAAGGGGAACGTACGCTGCGCTGTGTCGCGTACGCATTCTATACGCGAACGCCATCGACGGTGATTGGAGATCCCCCGTCGACAAACATGTCGAACTCTTTTCGGCTCTTTCCAAGGCGGCACCTGCTTTCGCTCGCAACGACGACGACGACGACGACGACGACGACGACGACGACAAACGCCAGAGCCTTTGTGATCCTTTCTCCTTGTGTCGACGTATCCCTCGCAATTTTCACGAGCTGCATATATATCGCGCGCGCGCGCGCGCTCGCATATATATATATATACGTGCATGCATCGAACAAACGCATTGCGTCACAGAGCATGCCGATATTAAATTGAGAGGGGAGTGCCGAAAACAATGAGGCGAGCTATGACGAAAGAGAGAAGTCGCTCTTTCATTAATATCGCTGAATTAACAGGAATTCAACGGAGAGAAAGGGGATGTGTGTAATGTCTGCAGACATTGTTGTGTCCAGACGTCGATGGCAAATCGTGCGCGAATGTGTTTGCAATTAATATAATAATCGCGAATTAAAAAATTCACTTTTTCGAACCGTTCTCTGAAACGTTTCATATTGCGAGAAAATGATTTAAAAAAAAAAAAAAAAGAAAGAGAGAGAGAAATTTTTTTGCGAATGAATAAAACATGTGCGGGGAATATCGACATTGTGTTGCCTTGCGGCTCGTACCAGGTCGATCGCGAAATGAAATAATATGAAATTCCGCGCGCACGAGAGCCGTAATTCAATCGACGGGTAAACGCGCGCGTTTAGCGTGACTTCGCAATGCCGAAAACGTAACGCAACGTTGCGAGTGATTGATCGACGAGTTACGCAATCTCCCGCCGATTCATCGCTCGCCTACGTGCTACACTAACGCGATCGTAAGAGTCGGCGTGTTTTGTTTTCTCCTCCTCCCTCCTTAATTTTTTACAGGGAGGATTTCTCATTACGCGGTAAT